AACATCGTGTGGAAAACGGCTTGCCTTAGACCCAAAAGTCGATGGCGTGTGTCATGCACAGGAGGCTGATCACTTACTTGGCCTTTAGATTGATAAATGATCATGAAACAAATACAGAAATCTGAGGCCCAGACCTAAAAAGGTTGCAGCGCCACTGATTTATTTTTATCTTTGTATATTTATGGAGTAAACGTTTGTTTGAATTTTATTCACTCCATAAATTAATTCAAATTTAGTACCTACATGAATAAAAATTAAAAATTTCTTACTTAAGAAAAACTTTTATTAAATATAGCAATCTAATTATAATAGCGATTAAAGAGATCAAGTGTGCTACAATGCGATTTCAATTTAGATGCATTTATTATTTACGGCACCTGTCAAACAAATCTACACATAGCGATTTGTATTGGCATAGAAAAGGGGAGGGGCCTAATTACGTATTCAATACAAAATGACCTATAACATGGTTATTGTGACTTTACTACTGTTACACAAGCTTTAACTTGCGTTATTCTTGAGTTTAGAGTTAGTTTGACTAGATGTGGTTAATATAATGTATTCATTTTTTTGAATAACTAGCTGTTCCCTGCCACGCTTAGTTATGGCATATTGTGATTGAATGGTTGTGAAATGAGAAACAAAACAAAGAAAACATTTCATATAAGTATATAATTTTGCAATACTTGTGGAAAAAAAAAATGAAAAAAAAAAACAATCTTTAATGCGGATTATATATCATGCTAAAATTTCAGCTCGATCGGTGCAGAACTCTTTATGTTTTTGAAGCGTACACAAACCAACATAACATTTTTATATCTTAATATATATAAATTAAGTGTCACGTTGTTTGTCCGCTATGGACTCTAAAGCTACCGAACCGATTTCAATCAAATTTGCACACCGTGTGCAGTTTGATCTAACTTAAAAGATAGGATAGCTTACATCTCAATTTATACCCGCAATATTATTTTATTGTTTGCAATATTTGTTTATTATTTGATAGTCACAATTCTAACAGATAGCGCTGTGTAAGTAAAGTACCAACGTTTCAAATAAGCTACAATTTAATGGCATTACCACCAAAAAAGCATGGTGGTCGCCATGACTGGTGTTCTCCTACCGTTTCCCTTAAATAGGTTACTACTATGTTATATAACTAAAACCTTAGCCACAGCAACGCTTGGCCGGTCTGCTAGTATATATATACAGATTCATATATATATAGATATATTACATATATATATATATATATATATATATATATATATAGATTCTAGCAGCGCGGCCTTGAGTAAATGTCTCCTCTGCCTTATTTCTGCGTTAAACATATCTTTAACGTATTCTTATTATGTATGAATTCTATTTTAACATAGTTCTATCTGTAATACCTTCGCCATTATTAGTAATAAAATACGTATTTAATACATGGACAAATAATTTCTTAATCTGTAGTCGATACCTTCGCCATTTCGATATTGTTTAAGTCAAGATTCCATTTCAGTTGTTTCATTAATATTAAAGATAAAGCTATATTTCAAGAACGTTTCAAAAGGTTTTGCTAAGTTCTGGACTCACTTCAGAGTTCTGCATCTCTCACATTAATATTTACTCGTTAAAAGCATAAGGACCCATAGCTTGGAATCCACAAAGAACCACAAAGTAATCTTTGTTTAATAATTATGTTTTTTATTAGTAAACACATCCAGTATTTATGAACGCGTGTATGAAGATGCTCAGTATGTCGGGTCAAGGAGCGCCCGCTCACATGCGGCTGGCCCATTAAACGCAGCCTGTTTTACTATTTCGAGACGATCTCTAGAAATATTACTCTTTAATGCTTATCTATTCTGTTGGTTCTCTCATTACTTCAGTAATTTATGTCTTGGCGATTAACCGGAAAACTTACAAACGCGCTTTTCTAGGTGTGTGTGAAGTACACCTGTTCAAATTTGTACAGAAATAGTGTGTTCTGTGTCGAGCTTAGACTTCGCACTTTCATATGTTTCTTTCTTAGATAATTCAACTATGCTAGCATGGTCAGCTACTATGATGCTAGCTTGCATGTTACACAATGTACACTTATGAACGTCAATAAAGAAATACATATTAAATCCTTCTAATTTTACAAGGGCGTAGAACGGACGAGAAGAACTGGCAATAAACTCTCTGCCACTATTTTGCATGAATCGTCATGGTATCGTGGTCATAAAGAATATAATTAGGAGAAGCTCTTTTATAGAACTCGGGGCAAACGGGCGGAAGGATAAATTAAGATCAGATCCGCCATGGACACTCGCAATGCCAGAGGGCACGCGAGTCGCCGGCCTTTTAAAAATTTGTACGGTATTTCCTACATATGGAAATACTACAGTGGGCCGCTGGACATAATGGTGGTGCGCGGTCTAAGCTGCCTTAAAAAACGCTCAGTTGTGGAACGACGGACGTCAAGGAATACGCGTGGAATTTCGTATTCTGCCTCGACTTAATATGAAAAGCTCGATAAACTTCTAATTAACTACTCTCTGTCCTGTCACCGAGCACTAAAGCACTAGTTAAGGGCTCCCTGAAAGCGACAATACGAATTAACGATTCCATAATATGATTCTACTTACGTTTGAAATGAACAAGACTTTTTCACTAGACATGATTTTTGGTATTTTTCCATCTCTTATCGATAAGTTTGTCGTAACTCTCAAAACTCAGGTCAATTAGATAGAGCGGGTTTATAGAAAAAATAAACGTATAGTATTTAATGATTTCATTAATGCTGTGTTTTACCAGTTTGGTGAGGTGTGAAAACGGGATGTGAGATAATTATTAACACGTGTTAATTTGGTACTATCTGATAACTGTTTTATCGTTTTCATACTTACTGGCTGCCGTCTTCGTGGTGCTAAATTCCACACTACAATTGGCTGGTGAGTTAAAATAGGCGTATTTCTGCATAACTGTCGACTGTTTGATCGACCTAAACAAGCGCAGAGGTCCTGAGTTCGATTAAAGGAAATAAATAAGGAATGTGTTTTCTGAATTGTGCCTTGTAATGTACCACAACTGAGGCCTCTTTCTTCTTTTGTGAGCCGTTAGCTAAATTTATTTTAAAAATATCGAATGGCGTATTTTTCTGCTCTGTCTTATTTGGAGAAATAATAAACAAATGTTTAGTATTTTAATTTATTTATTTATACTTCGTTACAATAATAAAAAACAAATAACATACAAATTATAAGGAATGCAAAGGGCGGCCTTATCGCTAACAAGCGAAGCTAGCAAGCGTGAAAAAGTTTTGGAAATCGGTCCAGTGGTTTTCGTGTTATTCATTACAAAAATACAAATCTTTATTGGTATAGATTATTTTTTACTCCTTTATACATTTCATAGTAATCAGTTCAGAAATTAAAGCGTTGAAGTGGAACTTGATTTACTATTTTAAGTTCTAACAATATATTAATGCAACAACTTAATTTGAGTTATACCTTTGCCTCGATGTTCAGGTGTGTAATTAATAAATTATTTCTTTTGTATATCCTAATTTAAGGCAAACCAGTTGTTCCCAACACTTTGTTTTTGTGTTACAGTGTCTAAGATATCTAGGCTAATCTATAATTCATGATTTTTTATAAAAAACCGAAGATAAAAAAGCATGCTGATTAAAGGCTGAGGTTATTTTAATGCACTTATTAGCGAGGTGTTGATGTTGACCTAGTGGTTCCAGCGTGCTCATCCCTGAGTTCGTAGGTTCATCCCCGTCTGTACACTAATGGAATTTATTTCTATGTGCGCATTTAACATTAGGTGAAGGAAAACATCATGAGAAAACTGGCTTGCCTTAAACCCTAAAAGTTGAGGGTGTGTACCTGAGTACAGGAGGCTGATCTTCTACTTGCCTATTAGACTAACAAATGATCATGAAATAGATACAGAGATCTGAGGCCCAGACCTAAAAAGGTTGTAGCGCCACTGATTATTTATTATTATTAGCGAGGTGTGTTGCCACAAGCCATTGTTGTTTCGCCGGGAAGTAAAGTTCTTCAAACATGATATTAAGCAACCACCGAGCTACAGCGTAGATAGCTGTTTAATATAATTTCTTTTAGTATCAGGTAATATTTATAAAACTGTTTTAACAAATAAACTATCAATGATTCAGAGTTTTTCTTTAGATTATAATTCCTTATGTTATTATTTTAGTAAAGTTAAAAGGGGATAAAATAAGAAAATACCTCGAGTGCAAGAACATTTTATTTGTACGTTTCGTGGAATGCTTTCACTAACTATATTATATACAACCATCCGAAAATTACAAATGAGTATCTGTGACACAATCACAATGAGTACATAATGAATACAAAGCTTTGAGCAATAGGAATGTTTTATAATTTATATCATATAACACTAGTATTTAACTGTCATATACGTATACTTGATAAGAAATCGTGATTTTTCAAAATAAGTTTCCCTGAACACATATTATATTAATTTTATATACAATTGAAATGCACAGATGTTAATTTTATATCGAACACAAAAGGCAGTATCTTTATTATCGAAATTTCAAATAACTCAACATTTTCCTTTAACATATAACCAATATACAATAAAGGCCGTAAATAATTCAATTGTATAATAGCAGAATACTTTTATATTTAATCTGTACTTTAATTATTACTTAAATATTAACAGAAGATACAATGCACCCGATTAACACTGGTAAAAAAACACAATCAATTCTACTAAATGGAATAAATTATATTCGAATACTAATTCCTATGGAATGTCGCACCCGGCTCATTCTCAAACCGCCTAACTAAATCTAAACACTACAATAATTTATTATTTACATTGAATTTGTACATCCATCGCCCGGGTCTAAAACCAATTTACTAAACTACTTACATTACGTATTTGGATAGACTCTTTATTTGATAACAATTCTCTCAAAGATCCTACTTATATTAATCACAATCCGATACTGGCCTGGAGCACTGACGTCGCCGTCAAACTTTGGTCGTTAAATCCAGGGGGTGGAGTTTGATTCTCTTAATCTGCGAATATGACATGTCTTCTTCCTCGCTGGCCGAGGCCCGGTCGCTGCCCGACTCGGGGTCGTCTTGGTCTGGCGTTATTATTTCGCTATCGTCGGACCGCCGTCGAGCCGAACTAGACCTCCCATCAGATTTCACTGACAAGTCCATCGGATTCTCTTGCAGAGGTGATTCAGAAGTTCGCCTTTCTGCTGGTGGTGTGGGAACAAATTCTGCTTCAGAGATATCCTCTTGCGGAGTCGGCACAGAGCGCTGCTGTTTTAAAATCTCATCTAAAAAGAATCGTTTGGACGACTCTGTATTGTGATCATCGATTCTCACATCATTGTTGTTTTCCGCTTGTCTTAGTGCGGCATGATCCAGCAAATGTCTGGAATATATTGGGTGAAAGCCCGGAGGAAATAAAAGGGGGTGGTTGTGCGCAAACGGGCTAAAGGGTGGTGGGGGAAGGAAAGGTGAGTGGGGGAAATGGGGCAAGGACATATTGGCTAGTGGATGGGGAACAAAATCCCTCGGTGGAGTGAGTGGTCTGTCTTGAGGGCGGGGATGGGTAATACGAGACTTCTCATCGAGTTTAGGAGATAAATCGCTGCGATGTGAATCCGGGGAACCAGAGTTAGGCTTATAGTCATCTAAGCCAAGGAGAGCAAGTTCTTCTTTTGTTCTCGGTCTCGTCATACCTGGGAAGAGATGAGGGGGAAAAGGTGAAGCCATATGGTGCGGAGAGGGTGGCACTCGAGGAGGAGAATGCGTCTGCGCAGCTTGCTGTTGCTCTTGTAAGAGACAATGAATCTTGAACCAGTTGGACCTCCGGCCATATCGAGAGCCAGACTTGGACATGCCCACCATAAGGCACTTGCGCAGACGGCACGCTTTGCACGCAGTCCGGTTCTTCTTGTTGATGACACATTCCCCGTTATTCTTGCATTCAGTGATGGAGTTCAGGTTGTTGTAAGACCGTCCGAAGAAAGACTGGAAAGAGAGAAATTAAACGTTAATTTATTGAGCTAATACATATATTTGACTTAATTCGAAAAATGAAGGATATAATTAGCATAGTACACAAAGTATACATTTTTTACAGTAGCTACCAAAATAGGTATTTATCGCCGACTTAAATGTCAATACAATGTTATTAATCTTTTTCATTTTGATTTAGCACATGACGTTGTAATGGATTCTATTCATATTAACATCATGAATAGATAAGTGTTTAATTATTATAATTACGAGTTAGGCTTCGTTTACGCGCTCGGCTGGGCGCGACGTGAGTCCGAGAGTGAAAACTCAGCTTTATCCACTTTACGGCGCGTACGTCACATCCGCCAGACATCAACCACGACTTCTGTTCCAGTCGGTTACGCTCGCTTATAAACGGTTTCGTTTTTCGACCTTGAGTTTTCGCTTAATTTATTATGTAAAACTATTGTTTAACTTAGATTCTGAATGGGGAAATCTTTACGGCGATTGGAAAACCCCTGAACGCTTCAAATATAATGCGGTCATCGCTGGTGATTTTATGTTGCTTTTATGATTATTTTCCATTAGTAATGTGTTGGTACCGATGTAACAATACAAATTATGGGCAATTGTGTCACATATTACGGCTAAGGTAATCTTTACGGGTTCATTTTTCAATATCAATTGAATTTTATATATTTTAATTTAATTTATATATTATTGTTGTTAACTAATTAAAAGCTCATGATAAATTGAAATATTTGGCAGACGACGTCTTGGTAATCTTTATCTATTATCTTCATTGCTTGCTTCAAAAGATCTCGTGAGGGAACTAGCATACCCTAACTAAGCTCAGGGGTTGTAGCGTCACTAGCTTATTTAAATATCACGGATATAAATTAAAAGTTAAATGTAAGATTATATAATAAAGAATTACTAATAATCATTACTCGTAATATGAATAATAATTATAATTGAACGAAAAAAAGAAGGTTTTTAATTGACTTTGACCTAATAACATAGTATATATTAAATTGAGAAGTTATATAATTATTATAAATCAACAAACCGCTAATATTTTTTTCAATATTTATTGAAAGAAACTTTTTTTACTTGATGTAAAGTGAGAGGTTGCCTATTGGAGGGTTCAGGAGATATATCTAGATATGGAAGACGCGCGTGAAAACAAATCTTTGCTGGAGCAATATTTATTTTAGTATTGGAATACCCCAAATTATTGATAAACACAGTGCCGATTCAACAGGCATAACGTGGATTTAAATACTTATTGATTAGATCACTGCGGTAGGTAGATGGTCATAAACCCGTGGCGTAAGGTTTTATACGATACTTTACGATATACTAATGGTGTTGCGGAATTTACTCCGCTTTATGGAGCATACATTGTTGTTTATGCCCTAATGACTAGCGAGGGTCGGAATATCTTATATTTGTATTATTGCTTCGTATTTTTATATACCTTCATAGAAAAGTTCGACAAATCTGATCAATTACGAAGGGAATGTCGAGGCTATTCATTTTCTTGACACGGGCCTAGTGGTTGAAAACCATTTGAATTAGTGAATTATTGTTAGAGTTTACTAGACACTTTCTTATGTGAAATATCCTTATAGTAAATTAGGTTACACTTATTAGTGGTAAGTTAGATAGATCGTACATTCATGTATTTAAAAAGACTTTAAACCTTCTAAAAAAAAGCGACCTAATTCAATTTTCCTTTGACAAAGACATAATTTTTACTTATTATATACTAATTAAACGCGAACAAAGTAGACCAACATGGAAACGAATGTGAAATGACGTAAACTATTTTCCTAGTGTACATCTCTATTTTTATTAAAATAGAGTTGATGCTGTTTTGTGTTTATCAATATTGTGATATGGTTTTACCGCTCATTAAAATAATTATCCTTGTATTTAACTAGTTCTTAACTATGTCATATATATATTGTGTCATACTAACAAGATATGTTGCTTACTCGAAGTCAACGAATCTTCAAGCTATCAAAGTATGAATACACATCCAAACGGTTATAATAAGACTAAACGATTAATAATTTGTATTTATTTTATTAAATTAATTTAGCCCTGGGTTCGATAAGCGTTAAAGTTATTCGTAGGCACAAATTGCCTTTTATTCATAATATAGAGTCTGAGAATAGTTTGTTGAGCACAGACTGAGTGAATAGACTATGGAGTGAGGTATACGAAAAAAAAAGGGTGCGTGTACTTATGGACACGCGTAAGAAGTTAAACTTCTTTGGCATTATCAAAAATAGATTTTGCATGCAGCAAATAATTAATTACAATTAAATAATCAAAGACTGGAAGAGGAGTCATTATAGTCAATAAAGTTCAGTTTACATTTGAAAAATTAAATAAATAAATATTTATTATTATTTTCTTACATTAAGTGTAGCATAAATTTTATTATTATTCGAATGTTGTTTTTAAATTATGTCCAATGCCGTAGCATCTTCCGTGGGCAACTTCATTCTGTTAATTTTGTGTAACGGTGCGCGCGCATCGTAAAATTTCACTCTCATCAATTTTTCATAACGCGCCTAAAGAAGTATAACTTCAATAATTTTACTCATGTAACTATGTCTGCTCTGTAGTTTATGCGTGGCATAATTCTTCATGATAAAGCATGTGTATAAAAGGGATACCATTAAAAATATTTTAATGGGGTTAAGAATTTTATCGTGCCATAGTAAAAGGACAGTTTAGTGCTACTAGACATGTTTTCCCTACTAATGGCAAGTAATATATTAAATTTCTCTTTTTACGACCATTTATACGATAAATTAAATGCCCTATACGAGTATAACCTTTGTGCGTTTACACAAATGCGTTTTAATATTCCGCATAAAAGTTTAATTGTATGTTGTTATTACTTTTAGCAATTAGATATTGTTTAGAAGGAAGCTGGAATGACGTGGAGTGAAATTAAGAGAGCTGATCAATAAGGCTGGTTTGCCTGGATGCTTTCAGCCCCACTTGATAATATAGGACTTTTAAGTCAAGTCAAGACGTGGGAAAGATATCGATGAAGGTTCAATGTTTGGATGTTGTGTATAAGTCCTGTCATAGATAAACACTATATAACATCAATAAAAATATAAATATATAACGATATAACGAGTCAATTGCTTTTTATAGTTAAGTAATTAAGTATATTAAAGTATAAAAAATTCTATTCAAATCTAAAATTGGAATATTTTATTGTAATTTTACTTTTTGTAACATTTATGTTATAGTATGTTATGTACATATAGCAATATATATGATATTTTGAACTTTAATAAATAAATAAAATACATTCCAGGCATTAAGTTTTGTACAATTTTGGCAGCAACTAAAGTAATAAAGTCAAATCAATTTATTAGCTAAAGGTACTTTTGAAAGTCAAAATTACAAAAAAATATTTAAAAGAAGAATGCCCCTTGCAGGTTCATTCATATGAACAAGAATGAGCTCCATAGATCTAACAAGAAGCCCCATACTAACTCTTTAAAAATGTTTTTTTACAATATTTTGTATACAATGATGGATTAAATGTGGATAAATAGTTATTAATAGTTTGATAACAAGTAAATGAATATCAAAAGATGGATGATTCTTCGTTACAAGTAAATGTGGACAGTATAAAACAGTTTTATTTATAGTTGAGATAGGTATTTCAAAACGTGGTGCATCTTGGGTTAAAGGTGTCGGGTCAGGTGGCCGAGGTAGCCGCGACGCGCGTTGTTGCTCAAGACACTAGTTATGCACATACTTATAATGTAATATCGACGAGAAAATACAATAGGACGATAATTTAGCCAACCAATATTCTTTATATTAGTGCAAATAACTAATTAGTCTGGTTAAGAAGCAGTTGTCAGGATAAAATATTTTTATTTATTTATTAATTAAAAAATACACGAAACAAAAACAAACATAAGAAATGAATGCGGAAAAACAAGAATACGTAATGAAAATATGCAAAAAATTAACTAAATACAGGCTAATAACTAAAAACCTTGTAAATATGAAACATAAGTTAACAAAATACACTTAATGAAGCTTATTAAAAAGCTTGGAGAATTGTCCAAACGGACTTAAGAACCAGGACGGATCAATAGAGTGATGGGCCGAAAGGGTAGCTGGAATTTTTTTTATGACGATGGCGCAAAATAAAAAAGCGTGGAAAAGGTTGTAGGAGGCCGCAGTAAATTTTTTATTTTTATTTATTTTTATTAAATGTATGTCAATAAGATGTGGATGAATAAAGGCTTATTATTATTATTAAGCTTTGTCTTTATAATTTAGCTTTCAATGCTTTTCACATGAGAAACGGAGATAGCAGTAATTCATAGATTTACCTAATTTACATGATAAAGTAAATAATAATTTACCGGCTTATGTACATGAGTGTACATTTGTAATGCTATGAATAAGTTGCACACGACGTCGCATCCTCTTCAGTCCAGTCTATTAATTATAATATCTAGTTGACAATCAGCGTTTATGCGCGTTTATAGGCTTCACCGACCGGTCGTAGGGTTGTCACAAGTGATATACATCGCTTTAATTTCCCTTAGGCAGTGTTATTTTTTGGTTTGTAATAAATTGTATTAAATGCATGGTTGTGTATGATTTAGTCAAAATAGGTGAAATTACGTTATAGCTTTTAGTGTCTTTTTGAACGTCCAAGAATCTGATAAACAATTTGTCTAACCCAGAATGTCACCAATTGCACATCTGATTACTCCTAGGTAGTACTGTCTCATGTTATTAGTTACCTATACGTTGTCACTCATATTTGCGATTTTTCTACAAATTTATTTCTATAAGTTGACAACCCTATGCCTCAGTGATTGAGCACACATGTAATAAAATTCTGCTACATTTGTAACGTGACGTACCCGCATAAATATGTATTTTTTCTATATCAATCCGAGCTAACATGTACATGGGATTAAAAACTAATAAATGTTTCTCGCATT